TCATGAAAAGAAGGCTATGTATATTAAAAAAAAGGCAAAATATAAGCCCCACCCACCCACCCTATCTCAATTCTGATGATTTTTTTATTCGTCGTAAGCCGAGTGGCAGAGCCTTATTGCAAAATCCATATTTCCTTACAAAAACTTACCATTTTATACGTGTTTTAAGTTTCTAAGAATAAAAAAAATCATTACAATTGACATGGGGTGGGTGGGCGGGGTTAATATTTTCCGTTGTTTTCTTAATAAACATAGTATTCTTTGAACAACGCTACTCAAAAATATGTTTTTAATTTCTTGTAAAGAAATACATTTTTTGCAGTTAAGCTCCGCCTCTTAGGTTCACGGCGAATACAAAAAATCATCACAATTGAAATAGGGTGGGTGGGCGGGCTTACATTTTGCCTTTTCGTTTTAATGTGTGTAGACTTTATTTCACGACATGAGACTTAAAACATGTTTAAAATGGTAAATTTGTACAACGAAATATCGATTTTGCAATTAGGCTCCGCCCCATGATTGATATTTCCTTACAAAAATATACCATTTTAACCATGTTTTAAGTTTCTTGTTGTAAAAAGATGGCTATGTATGTCAAAAAAGAGGCAAAATATAAGCCCGCCCCACCCACCCACCCCATCTCAATTCTGATGATTTTTTTTATTCGTCGTAAGCCGAGAGGCAAAGCTTAATTGCAAAATCCATATTTCCTTACAAAAATTTACCATTTTAAACATGGTTCAAGTTGCTAAGAATAAAAAAATTATCACAATTGAGATGAGGTGGGTGGGCGGGGATTAATATTTTCCCTTAATTTCTTAATATACATAGTATTCTTTGAACAACGATAGTCAAAAGTATGTTTTTAATTTCTTGTAAAGAAATAAATATTTTGCAGTTAAGCTCCGCCCCCTTGGTTAACGGTGAATAAAAAAGAATCATTACAATTGAGACAGGGCGGGTGGGCGGGCTTACACTTTGCCTTTACATTTTAATATGTGTAGACTTTTTTCACGACATGAAACTTAAAACATGTTTAAAATGGAAAATTTGTACAACGAAATATCGATTTTGCAATTAGGCTCGGCCCAATAATTCATATTTCCTTACAAAAATATACTATTTTAACATGTTCTAAGTTTTTTGTCATGAAAAAATGGCTATGTATATTAAAAAAAACAGGCAAAATATAAGCCCCACCCACCCACCCGATCTCAATTGTGATGATTTTTTTTATTCGTCGTAAGCCGAGGGGCAGAGCTTAATTGCAAAATCCATATTTCCTTACAAAAATTGACCATTTTAAACATGTTTTCAGTTTCTAAGAATAAAAAAATCATCACAATTGAGATGGGGTGGGTGGGCGGGGGTTAATATTTTCCGTTATTTTCTTAATATACATAGAACAACGATACTCAAAAATATGTTTTTAATTTCTTGTAAAGAAATAAGTATTTTGCAGTTAAGATCCCCCTCCTTGGTTCACGGCAAATAAAAAAGGATCATCACAATTGAGATAGGGTGGGTGGGCGGGCCTACATTTTGCCTTTCCATTTTAATTTGTGTAGACTTTTTTTCACGACATGAAACTTAAAACATGTTTAAAATTGAAAATTTGTACAACGAAATATCGATTTTGCAATTAGGCTCCGCCCCATTATTCATATTTCCTTACAAAAATATACCATTTTAACCATGTTTTAAGTTTCTCGTTGTCAAAAGATGGCTAAGTATGTCAAAAAAAAAGGAAAATATAAGCCCCACCCACCCACCCTATCTTAATTCTGATGATTTTTTTATTCGTCGTAAGCCGATAGACAAAGCTTAATTGCAAAATCCATATTTCCTTACAAAAATTTACCATTTTAAACGTGTTTTAAGTTTCTAAGAATAAAAAAATCATCACAATTGAGATGGGGTGGGTGGGCGGGGATTAATATTTTCCGTTATTTTCTTAATATACTTAGTTTTCTTTGAACAACGATACTAAAAAATATTTTTTTAATTTCTTCTAAAGAAATAAGTATTTTGTAGTTAAGCTCCGCCCCCTTGATTCACGTCGAATTAAAAAGGATCATCACAATTGAGATAGGCGGGGTGGGTAGGTTTACGCTTTGCCTTTTTGTTTTAATATGTGTAGACGTCTTTTCACGACATGAAACTTAAAACATGTTTAAAATGGAAAATTTGTACAACGAAATATCGATTTTGCAATTAGGCTCCACCCCATAATTCATATTTCCTTACAAAAATATACCATTTTAACCATGTTTTAAGTTTCTTGTTGTAAAAAGATCGCTATGAATGTTAAAGAAAAGGCAAAATATAAGCCCCACCCACCCACCCTATCCCATTTCTGATGACTTTTTTTTGGTGTAAGCCGAGGGGCAGGGCCTAATTGCAAAATCCATATTTCTTAACAAAAATTTACCATTTTAAACGTGTTTTAAGTTTATAATAATAAATAAATCATCACAATTGAGATGGGGTGGGTGGGCGGGGTAAATATTGTCCCTTATTTTATTAATATACATAGTATTCTTTGAACAACGATACTCAAAAACATATTTTTAATTTCTTCTAAAAAAATAAGTATTTTGCAGTTAAGCTCCGCCTCTTTGGTTCACAGCGAATAAAAAAAATCATCACAATCGAGACAGGGTGGGTGGGCGGGCTTACACTTCGTGTTTTTGTTTCAATGTGATTGTGTAGACTTCTTTTCACAACATGAAACTTAAAACGTGTTTAAAATGAAAAATTCGACAGAACTTCCCTCGCTTCAAAACAAATTCTGCCTCTCTGAAAAATTGTAAAATTTGATTTTGCGGAATTTTACTTTTTCGCCTTCGCTGGGACTCCCGAAAAAGTTTCACATTCTTAAAAAAAAGTCATTTGGGACCCCCGAGAAGGTTCCACATTCTTAAAAAACGACATTTGGCGTCCCCGAGAAGGTTTTACATTTTTTAAAAAGACAGTTGGGACCCTCGAGAAGGTTTCGCTTTTTTTAAAAAGACAGTTGGGACCCCGGAAAAGGTTTAACAATCTTAAAAAATACATTAAATTTGGTGCCGCCGAGGTTCTACATTTTTAAAAAAGACAGTTGGGACGCCCGAGAAGGTTTTACATTTTGAAAGAAGACAATTGGGACCCTCGAGAAGGTTTCGCCTTCTTTAAAAAATGACAGTTGGGACCCCCGAGAAGGTTTCACATTAAAAAAAGACATTTGGCGCCCCCGAGACGGTTTTTTCATTTTTAAAAAAGACAGTAGGGACCCCTCATAAGGTTTCACATTCTAAGAAATTCATTTAATGCGCCTGAAAATTTGCCCCCCGCCAAGGTTTTATATTTTTAAAAAACACAATTGGGACCTTCAAGAAGATTTCACCTTCTTAAAAAAAACATTAAATTTGGAAGGTTTTATAAGTTTTAAATAAAGAGGAGTGTATTCTCACCTTTCCTAGAAAGTATTGTAATTTCATCAATAAAAAATTTGTTATGATAGACTAAACATAGATAACACACAATGCGAGAGAAAAACAGAAAATAAAAAAAAAGAAAGGCCAAGTTTGGAATCGAACGCGCGACATCGGGTCCGCATTCCTGACTCGTAGCTACTAAACCACGACCGGAAGGTCTTACACTAATGGTAAACTATTTTTATGCCGTATATTATGCTTTTGTAAAAATTTGGACGATTGGGGAAAAACTCAAAGCGGATTTGAGTACCACATTTTAGAACTATATTGTTGCATAACATTTAAATCAATTAAACGTAGAATTATTTTAAATAACGTCATTAAATTGTTGGTGGGGATGATTAGCAACATTTTGGTTAACATTTAACCATCTACATTATATGTCTAATATACATACAAAATTTGGCAACAATCGGTCCAGCAGTTTCGTATCTATAGACCCCAGACAGACAGACAGACGGAAACGGGAGACTACTTTTTTCGTACTCTACGGGTCATGAAACGTCGAGAAAATATAAAAGTGGCCATTAGCTTACTCTCGGGAAGTAAAAATACATATGGACAGGTAATGAATTAATGAGTTAAGTGTTTTGGCCTAGTTTAAATGAAACATGGAACATACAGATCCAAGTTATTTTAATAAAAAAATTACACACATGTCTGAAAAACCAACACAAAAACGTTATTATCCCCACGACACCGAAAATTTCAACAAACAGTCGACGCGTTTCATCAGCTACGCTGTCATCTTCTCGAACAAAACTAACCTCAGGCTAACACTCGGTGCCCTTATAATTATTGCAGGTGCTTTCGAGATAAATGCTTCAGTGTGATTACTGCCGAGGAAAGACAAACAATTTTTCTAAATTTTTATAATATTCCGATTAAACACCTACAAGACTCGGATTTGCGCGGATTTATGAATTTGGGGCCCGTAAAACAAAGAAGATCTCGGAAATAATTGAGGTCTGGTCTTGTGGAATATTCAAAATCTGACGAAGACGAAAACACGAGAACAAAGTTTGAACACTCGTGTTACTAAATCTATAAGGTAAGGACGAAGGAAGCTGGTGCAAGCGAGTACAAAGAAGCTTGAGTGTGCGAAAGAGGATTTCTTAACTTGTGTGGTACTAACTCTGGATGACATGAAATTTCCGATTGAGGAAAAAGGACGTCATAGGAAAAGACTTAGGGCATTACCATTGGAAATACAAAATTTAATTGAAAAATCGTATCAAACCTTACAAGCCTACGCAGTCCCATTATTTATTATTCAAGACACAAGTCCAATTGTTATTACCCATCGGAAACTTTAAGCATCAAACATTTACATAGATCTTTTATAGAAGAAAATAAAACTCGCGTAACGTATAGCAGTTTTGGCCAGTCTTTCACGAAAAATTCAACTTTAAATTTGATTTGCCGAGAACTGACTCGTACAATGTGCAACTTTTTAAAAAAACTATTATCATTCTATTATTAAGCAAGCCGTCCCTTCAAACCCGTCTTCCGCGCTCCACCTACCTTGCGAGTCCTGCTTGTACGAGCTCTGCGAGCCCTCGCTGCTCTGCGACGACGCCGCCCCCCGTTTTTTGTACGCCTCGAAGTCCCTGAGGTGCGTCGTGAAGGGCCCTTCGAGGAAGGGCCGCTGCAGGCCGATCGCCCGGTAGGTGGTGTGCTGTCCGGCTGCGGGAAAACAGGCTTGTAACTTTGTGCAGAAAGGGCGAAAGGGTGGAGGGCCGAGAGGGCGATGCAGAACAATCCGCACGCTGGTGCATGCAGGAAGCCATCAGGTCTGCTATGCAATCATTTCCGGCCTACACCATTTCCGCCACCATTAATACTAAATTATTTGTAGAATTTTGCGTCCACTGATGACCCGACATCTGTTAATGATTTGTCCTAATTAACCCACACCGCCGCCGGGCGGCGGGATTGCGGCACGTCGGAATCACGCGCTTTCGGCGCGGGGAAGCCGACGGCAATAGCGGGGGTACGAGTGGAGATATCGATATGCGGGAAACAAAACCAAATCTGTCGTAGAACTGATGTGCTTAAGGTGTTTGTTTTCGGTACTTGAGTACTTAGAAAGACCCGTTTGCAGCTGATGATATTTCTTAAGTCACGTTACTTTCACGACTCCAAGGTTACTGTATGATTCAGCTAAATGTATATTTTGTTTGGTAAAATAACGTGAAAGTTAGGAAAAATACGGATTTTTGTGAAATAATAATGATTACGCACTTGGAAATTTATTCATTAGAAAAAAAGCGACATTCTGCATATCAAGCTCGCTTTTTATTGTTGTACAGTATTTGGTTTAAAAATAGTTGTGGTTTAGGTGTTTTTATTAAATGGGTTAGTACCACCATGGTTTCAACAAGATGGTGCCCGACTTCACCAACTTCGCTCTTATGCGAAGAACGCAGTAGGTGACATTCGTCGTAAAAAAAATGAATCAGCGTGATTAAACTGCGACTCTTCCTTTTGGCTTCCATACTAGATATTTTATGCAAACATGAAAGACCTATGGTTTTTCCCATTAGTAAACAAAATGTGTTGCAACTGTGGTCACTGCGTGTGCAACCATCGCAAATTTTATAATCGTCGCTAAAATCAACCCGAGGAAGCCTATTTTAAGTCATTTAGTTAACTAAAATGGTCGACGATGAAGAGAGAAGGCGACTGTGCAACAGAGACGGACACAGAGGAAGGTGACGTCAAAAGGAAATGAAGATAAAACAAAAGAAAGCGATTAAATCATTAAGTGTATTATGTTTAAATTTATCCATTTTACAGCTGAATAATAATCCGGTAGTTGAATTAATAAAGAATGAAAAAAATGAGTGGTTCCTCGACCGAGCGACTTCCACCACGTATTAAAAAAATTGTGTTAAAAAATGTAAAACGGTGTCCAAGTTTGTCCAAATCGGCTCTATTGTCTCCCACTGGTTCTCTCTGCCGCTGCGAGTCGGCCAGCAAATGGTGTAATTACTTACAAAATAATGAGCTAGTAATTGCAGCAATAGCAGATTTGTAAATTGCTAATCTGACGCATTTGTCAGTGGATTGGTTCAGTATGCGTGCTCTCTCTACACGTCCATCACCACTGCAACATCGGTTTAATGAAATTTCAACCCTTTCACATCGGATTTCGATATTTTTAATTCAGCTCCCGTAATGATGGCAATAATAAAAACCGACCCATCGAAATCTGTTTATGATAATTTGAATAAATCGAGATTTAGAGAATGAACATTACACAGCGTAATTATAATAAATGGACGCATTAATAAAAAGAGGAGCCGAAATTTATGGCACCATTCCAAACACCGACACTGCATTATTTATGGATTACGCGATCGCCATAAGTCACACTTTTACGTTTGGAATTGAACGATTTTCAGGTACAACGAAGTGTGTGGAAGACGCGTTATCCACGACGTTTAGTTCTGTGGTTTTCGACTCTCTATCGTAGCTATTTCTGTTGACAATTTATCTAGTACTCAGAAAATTCAAAAACCGCTGAAGCACCTTCATTTAAAATTTCATAGTTCTGATGATTAAGACACCGAATTTCTCGTTGAGAACTCGACGTGTAAAAACTGATCGGAAAATTCTTGCTACAGTTCGCCGAATATTTTGCTTGATGTGTCAAAGGAATTCCGGCTGAGATATTGGATGGTTATTTAGTGGGAGCGAGTTTCCCCCGCGTCATTTTAATAGGAATTTAATTGCAGCAATCCCCGAAAAGTATCGCCGAGTAAGATGCTGTGAGAACTTTAGTGTTTTTGCTGATAACTGGTGATTTCCTGTCGAGGGTGATAACGAAACAACGTGAACTAAATGCGTGTGAGAACGAACAATTAGCGATAGTGGTGGCAGATTCGGGAATTTTGACCACTTTATCGGGGTGGGAAGAGATGCAGGTGATAGCACACGAGGGCTGAAACAAAAACAGTGATGTTGCTCGTGCGCCCCCGCTCCTACCAGCGCCTAATCACCCAAAAACCAACACCAAAATCACGATCGCTTAATTTATTTGTCCGCGACCACAGTCGTCGTTAGGCGCAGCCCCCAATCTAGCATCTGTCGTTTGTCCCAAACGGACAATTTTAAAGTCATCATCCCCGCCCGGCCCCACCCTAACATGTCAATCGAGCGATCACTGACTTTCCGAAAAAAATCCGGCTCTTGGAAAAAAATTAATAAACCGAAAACGGCCTGCGTCGATATATCACTCGGTAATAATTTGTAAAGTCGCTTGTAAATTGGATTTCAGGATTCGTGATCGCGGCCGTCTATGATTATGACGGATCAGAAGCGGGATTCTATTAGCCATCGAGCTTATTTACTCTATCATTACCGAGCGGTTTCGTGGGGCAATTTACTAACCCATCTAGTTGCTACTGGATGTGTTTTAGAACTTTCCGCATTTGTTTCCAGTGGCGTTTTTTTGGCCGCCGGCCAGCGGCGGCTGCCGCGAGCTAATATTTGTTCGGAGGTGGCAAATATTTACTAATAATTTGGTCATTAAAAGAGGTGGGATTGAGCAGTTTTGAGTGCAATTGTCATAAAAATTGAATTAAACAATAATAATAATAATAAGGCTAACAAACATTTTTTTATCATAAAAAGCTTGAACTTCTCTCAATGGATTCATTTTTGCTTTTAGGAACACCTTGGTTTCAAAATTTTCAGCCACAGAAATTTTCTCTAAGAAAAAGTTGCACATTGATCTATATAAATGTATGACACTTAAAATTTCCGTTCGGTAATAACAACTGGAATTGTGTCTTGAATAATAATGGGACCGTCTAGGCTTGTAAGGTTATATACGATTTTTCAATTAAATTTTGTATTTCCAATGGTAATGCCCTAAGTATTTTCCTACGACGTCCTCTTTCCTCAATGGGAAATTTCATTAGCTTACAAAGCCTTAATTGTAGTTGCCTGAGTCATCCAGGGTTAGGACCACACAAATTAAGAAATTCTCTTTTCCTATAAAATTTTTGAAAAATTGTTTGTCTTTCCTCGCCAGTAATCACATTGAAGCATTTATCTCGAAAGCACCTGCAATAAGAGCACCAAGTGTTGACCTGAGGTTAGTTTTGTTCGAGAAGATGACATCGTAGCTGCTGAAACGCGTCGACTGTTTGTTGAAATTTTCGGTGCCGTGGGGATAATAACGTTTTTGTGTTAGTCAAAAGTGTTTGAAAAGAAAACATCAAAATTGTATGACAACTTTTGTACTTTGAGTTTGAAATCTTGCACTCGTTTTAAGGTCATAGGGAGCATGGTAAATCCTAATTAAAATTTATCCGTTTATCCCGTCCCAAAAAATCAATTACGTCATCCTACAATTTTGCAAGAATAAATCCTATTTAAAATAAGCAAAATATTATGACTCCACACGTATGGTTGGTTTATCAATGCATTAATATTTTCTATAATTACTAATACAGTCAGATTCAATAAAAAAATTAAAGAATGAGTCAGTTTCATTTCTCTGAACGTTTTATAACTTTAGACCAATTTTACTTCCCGAGTGTAAGCTAAGGAAGTACATTAATCGAGTCCATCGGACGAATTGCCACTTTTACAATTTCTCGACGTTTCGTGGCCCCTAGAGTACGAAAAAAGTAGTCTCCTTTTTCCGTCTGTCTGTCTGGGGTCTGTAAACATTTTTATTAAACACGTATTGAAACTGCCAACCCGATTGATGCCAAATTTTGTATGTATATGAGAAATATCATGTAGATGGTTAAATGCTAACCAAAATTTTGCTAATCATCCCCACCAACAATTTGATGACGTCATTTCAACCTTCTCGAGGGTCTCAACAGTCTTTTTTTAAGAATGTGAAACCTTCTCGGGGTCCCAACTGTCTTTTATAAAAATGTAAAACCTTCTCGGAGGCCCCAAATGGTTTTTTTTCTTAATGTGAAACCTTCTCGGGGGTCCCAACTGTCCTTTTTTAAAGAAGGCGAAACCTTCTCGGGGGCCCCAAGTGTATTTTTTTTAAGAAGATGAAACCTTTTTTTTATTACACTGTGACTAGTATCTTCTATATATTTTTTTAATCCATAGAGGTAATTAGGAAAAGGTAAAATTCCGCAAAATCAAAGTTTATAATTTTTCAGAGAAGCAGTATTTGTTGGACTGTAGTTTAGAAACGAGGGAATTTCTGCCGCAATAACTTTCGACGAATTTTTTAAATAAAACCTGAACGTGCTCGCTGCGCTCGCATTCTAAACCTTCTTTTTTTTAAATTTAACTTCAGAAGTAATCAAGAAAAGGTCTTAGCGGAGTTGTTTGGGTTCAATAATTGTAATAATAAATCTCTAGATTAAAAAAAAATCACCTTCAGATCTCCTCATTTAGTAGTCACAATTGTTTTTAAGATTCACTTTTTTGTAGACGATAAATTTTTTGTCAATAATTTAGCTTCTCGGGGACATAACAGAATTATTTTTAATTACACCTGCACGTGCTCGCTGCGCTCGCATTCTAAACGTTCTTTTTTTGGAATTTAGTCACACAGAAGGGATTAAGAAAGAATTTCAACGAAACTGTTTAGGTTTTGTTGCAATAATAAATCTCTAGATCCAAAAGAAATAAATCCGACTTTAGTATTTAGAAATATTTTTAAGATTCACTTTTTTAGACACTAAAAATTCTCTCAT